GTGGTGACGGGGATAGTGCACGCAATTGAGGGAGGGCGGGAGGTGCTTCTTCATACTAGGTAAGACACATCATTTTATTTTATAACGCGGATATTTGCGAAGTAAATTTTTGTAAAAGCTTTTATATAATGGATTTCCGCAAAGTAACGCCTGATTCTATTAATTTCATTATACGGTGTTAATGGGAGATTTCAATGGAAAACTAGGCACAAGAGAGATCCTTTCTTCCCCATCGGTTTTAGGTTTTTAGAGCTAAATGGCCAACCCATTGGTACTTCAGCTTACGAAACCGTTGGGCTATGTCAGTTACTCTGATTCAACTGCACATATCGCGAGCATATACCTATCCATAGCTCACTGAGCGACCTTGAGCTTCCTCATACGGCCAGCAGGGAAGGACCACGTCTTAGATCCATAGGTCAACATTGGCAACACCCACTAGTTGTACAATCTAGTTTTGAAGTTTTGAGGTATGCCAGACGAGACGATGTGTCATGATCTCCCGAACGCTGTCCAGCCGAGTCGAATCCCATCGAAGTTAAACTTACGTAGTGGGTCTCTTTGTCCCAGGTAAACATACTTGTCAACAACATCAAGCTTATTATTCCGAACAACTACCGGCATAGGTGTGACATGGACGTAACACATGACTTTTGTTTATTCCATATTCAGCTTAAGACCTATCCGTTAAGAAACACTATTGAGGTCATTGAGCATAGTGCTTAGATCCTCCAGCGATTTTGCCATAAGGACTATATATCGTCAAATCGAAGATGGGTAATGTAATCGCCATTGACGTCGTACCGTATCGTTTCCAGTAAAGTAGTTTGAGAACGTTTTCCAATGCAGCGGTGAAGAGTTTCCGTGATATAACGTCACCATGTATATATATATATATATATATATATATATATATATATATATATATATATATATATATATATGTATACATGGTGACGTTATGTTGTATATTAAGAAGAAGTTCTTAATATATAACATAATATGGCTGATAAAAAAACCTAATGGTAATAATCTTTGGCTTTGACAAGGGTTGCGTACCTTATACTCAGAATTACCAAACGGTATTCGCTGAAGGTCGTACAAGTTTACGCACTAACGTCGGCACATCCCGATGAGGAGGTGGAAGAAATATATGAGGATATCTCTAGAGCTAAGCATTCCTGCAAAACTCATTATACGGTGTTAATGGGAGACTTCAATGCAAAACTAGGCACAAGAGAAATCGGTGAGCTGAAATTAGGGAAATTCGGAATAATGCAACAGAACCCAAGGGGCCTGCAGCTGGCTGACTTTATGGAGAAAGTGGAACTCTTTATGATTAACTCTTTCTTTCTAAAGCGGCCACACACAAAAAGGACCTGTTCAAGCCCCGACAGTTTGACAAAAATGAGATTGATTTATTATCACGATTAGTTGACAACGGTTCAATGACATCTCAGTGATCGCGAGGTTGAAAATTGGCAGATATCACTGAATGGTGAGAGGCACACTGAACATAAACGTTAAGTTTGAGAGGAGAAATCTAATAAAGTACACGCTTCGCCCCCCTCGTGCTCTAATACAAAGCTCCGAAAACTTTTAGCTCGAGTTACAAAATAATTTTCAGTGCGTAGAAAACTGAAATGAATTGACCGACATGAATGACAATCCTGTGGAAACTGTCATGCGGTCGGAACTAAGTTTGGTAACACCCGACGCAGAAAAACACAAAAGCATTCCAATCACACTCCTAATCTCATGGCTGTTAGACGGAAAATGCAGTTGCAGTCTTTAGCAGGTTTGACGGCATGCAGGCAACAGAACAGAGTGTAACACGAAAATTTTCGTGTACATTATTTTAGTATATTTACGTTATTACATGCGATGAACAGACTTCAGAGCGCCATCTAACGTCATTAGTCCGAAGTAACTAGAAACGTATATTGACGAATCGAGCTAGCTAATTGCATGCAATTGACCTTTCGTGTTAGTTCGAAATCATACCACGGATCGACGGTGGCGTGTAGCCCAAGGGAGGCCTAGTTCTTTTTGTAGCGAGCCGTTGTAATGATCGGACACGCACATATATAACTTTTTAATCGAAACGCCGGAACATGAATTTAAAGTGACGACTACTTGGGCGTACGGCCCCTTAAACACAATGTCTACGGGCAGTTTAATGTGTTGAAACACATCATCCCATAAATTGTAAGTACTTAATGTTTTTGTCTTCTTAAAAGCACATGTGCTCTAATTAACGGTACACGGTGTTTCATAGATTCTTTTGCCTTGTCATAGGGGTCCTTAGTCCTTAGTCCTTAGTCCTTAATCCTTAGTCCGTACTTTGAGTATGGTCCATTATCAAGTTTAACAATGTGAACGAGGCGAGGCAGCTTCAACGGGTGGCTATATTGGGACTGGGCGGCCAGGAGACCGCGACCGGCGTACACCTGGAGGATATCTGTTGCCTCACTGCTTCGCGGGATTGACCATAAACAGTGTAATATTGTGTAATCCACCAGGTTAGTCAAAACCTCAGTTCATAGGGTATTTTAAAGTGAAAACTTGATATTTGGAACTATACATGTGAACCGTAGAAGGAAATATACTACTTTTTGTCTGTATGTGTATCTTTGAATTTTCATTTACTAATCATCCAACAACAGGCGCCCTGGGATACTTTTATTTTGATCCTCGAGTCCCTTGACTCTCCGATAACCGTAGCCGGTGAGTAACGCCCTAAAAAGTGTTATAAATTGGCGCCCAACGTGGGGCCTTAAGTTGCTGGATGTTAGTAGATGAATTAACTTTAATTGTAACTATTTAAGCTGTTAAAAACCCATTTAATATGAAAACTTAGTGAAATTTAATGTTAACATTTTTTTTCTGATGTAGGTAGATTTAAGTAAGCTGGAGAACAAAGAAAGTTTAACTTGAATGTGATTTATATGTACCTACTTAAATGAATTAAAACTTAACATAATAAAAATATTTGTGCTATTTTAAGTAGATATTTTTAATATCAACCGATTTAAGACTTTCTTGTAACCGTCAGTACATTTTAACAAAATGTCGATCCACAAGTATATAGACTCATTACATAAAGATGAAATCAGATATGAACTCGCCATTATTGGTATTTCCACAGATGAAAATGTAACCACCGATGCAGTGAGGAAGCAGATCCGCCAGGTGTACAAACTCGCACGCCGTGGAAGCATAAAGTGTGAACCACTCCAGTCACCCAGTATAGCCTCTGAACTAGAGATCTGCACCCCAAAGGTCGAACTTCTGGAATCCCAGTTGCAGGCGGGTAAAGTAGATGATCGCAATTTGACTCTTAAACTGTCTCGTCGTGCAAATTATTTGATGGATAGACTAGCTCGTATCTCTGAAAGTAGTTCGCATTTGTCAGATCTTCGTAGTCGTTTGATTCGCATTTTGAGTGTCATAGACGGTGAGGATAGCGACACGGATAGTGAGTACAAGGAAACCCAGGCACAACCGTCTAACCAGAAAGTGGAAAGTAACGTGATCTATGTGAAAGATAAACCCTTGAACCTAAATACATTTAACTTAAAATTTGACGGAACCACGTGTGTTCGTGTATTTATTGAACGTCTTGAGGAACTTAAAGAGGCTCGCAACATTACTGAAGCTCGCATACTTTCAGCTTTTTCTGATCTTTTAGAAAACTCTGCTTTATGTTGGTTTAGAAGTAATAAGGATAATATCCACTCATATTCACAATTATTGAAATGCTTAAGGGACGACTTTGATATTCCCGATTTAGACTATAAACTATTAAATGAAATAAGGCAGCGTACACAGGCCAGACACGAAACGATAGTAGTCTATCTTTCCATTATGTAGGAAATGTTCTCGCGACTCACTCAGCCGTTGTCGAGTAGACAACAACTCGAAATCTTGATGCATAACATTAGACCAGAGTACATGAAAGATTTAGCTTTACATGATATAACCTCTGTAGACAAACTTAAACTTTATTGCAAACAGTTAGAAATTTCGCGGTCGCGTGCGGAACAATTTAGTGAACCTAACTTGAATAACTTTAAAATTACAGCGGACTTAAATAAACAAACGCCGCGATCTCACAGTAAACAAGTCTCTGTGCTGAATGAAGCTGGCTCTTCGAGGCAATTAGATAGGAAATGCTTTAGGTGTGGATTAAACACTCATTTCACCAATCAATGCAATTCGAAAGAGTTAGTGTGTATTAAGTGTGGATTAAAAGGTGTTAAGCGTTCAGATTGTAGTAATTGCAATTCACAAAACTAGTTAACACGGAACTATCCAACACCTTTAATAAAAATAGGTCTTATACGTCCAATAATGAAGAGGTAGTTCTGTTTAAAAAAAATACTAGGGATATAAGACCATACTTAAAATTAAAAATATTGAACTTACAAGCTTTTGGCTTGTTAGATTCGGGTGCAACTTGTAGCATTCTTCGAAATAATGCGCATTTGATCTTTTTAGAACACGGATTTCAACTCAACTGGTTTCACACTGAGCACTACGTAAGAACTGCTGATGGTACGAGATTGCATTGCTTAGGGTATATGTCCTTACCTATTGAATTTAACAATAATTTCAGAGTGATTAACTTTTATGTTGTTGCACAAATAACTTCACCTATAATTCTAGGTGTTGATTTTTGGCAGGTGTTTGACTTAGGGAGTGACCTTGTATCCGAAGTACAGTTTGACCGAAAGTCGGAGTCATCAATATGTAATAGCATAAATTCGGTTTCTCTTAATAAAGGCCTTGAAGAATACGAGTCTTTATCCATAGAACAAAAACAAATCATGGATAAGTTAGTCCAACAGTTTGATACAATTAACACAGTTAAAGTAGGTTTGGGACGTACCAATTTAATTCATCACGTCATAGACACAGGGGATAGCAAACCTATTAAGCAAAGGTACTATCCATTATCACCTGTTAAGCAACTAGCACTTGAAAAAGAATTGGATAGAATGCTTAGTTTGGGAGTTGTGTCACCTACACAGTCAGCTTGGAACTCACCTGTAGTAATGGTTCAGAAGCCAAATGGGGACCTAAGGCTTTGTCTAGATTGTAAAAAATTAAATGCAATTACCAAACCCGATGCGTATCCTCTCCCGTATATAAGCAGCATATTGGACCAGCTCCGCGACGCGGAATACCTAACGTCAATAGATCTTTCCGCTGCGTATTGGCAAATACCCTATGATAGCGAGCAATCAGCTGATAAGACCGCGTTCACAGTGCCACGTAGGGGGTTATTTAGATTCAATGTAATGTCGTTTGGCCTTGTTTCCGCGTCAAGCACAATGCAGAGATTAATGGATAGGCTATTTGGTCCCGAATTTAACAACAAAGTATTCTGTTTCCAAGACGACATAATCATAATATCCAGCACTTTCTCAGAACATGTGCAGCTCTTGCATAAGGTCTACGCAAAACTCAGGGACGCAAACTTGACTATAAACATGGATAAGTCTATCTTTTGCCGTAGAGAACTTAAGTACTTGGGATATTTAGTTGACAAACATGGACTTAGAACTGATCCGGGAAAGGTAGATATTATATTGAATTATCCAACTCCAACTTCCGCTAAAGAGGTTAAAAGGTTTCTAGGCATGGCAGGCTGGTACAGGAGGTTCATTAACAATTTTTCGAAAATTAGTAAACCGTTGAATAAGTTAACTAGCAAAAATGTCCGCTTTGAATGGACTACGGAGGCAGATGAGTCATTTAACCACTTAAAAACCGCTTTAGTGTCTGCTCCGATACTTAAATGTCCAAACTTTGATTTGCCTTTTTCTATCCATTGTGACGCTTCCTCAGTGGCTGTGGGCGGGGTCTTAACCCAGACTTATGACGGGGTAGAACATTCCATAGCATACTGCAGTCGGTCTCTTGCCAAAAATGAAATTAATTTTTCCACATCGGAGAGAGAACTTATGGCCGTGATTTACGCATTAGAGCAATTTAGATCTTATGTAGAAGGTACAAAGTGTAAAATAATAACCGACCACGCCTTGTTATTATGGTTTTATAAATTAAATAACCCATCAGGTCGCTTAGCCAGGTGGAGCATGCGATTGAGTCAATTTGATTTCGAAATAGAACACAGAAAAGGTAAATTAAATGTTATTCCAGACGCACTAAGTAGGATTCAAGTTGATGCAATCGCTACGCCAGCAACCAGTGATGCGTGGTATGGACATGTATACGAAGATTGTCAGGCCAACCCTCGCAAATATCCCCACTTCATGGTAAAAGACGACAGATTGCTTAGGTACTCTAAAAATAAATATGAGTTAACGAATGAGTTTAATTGGAAGTTAGTGGTACCCGAGGAAGACAGGTTAGATATTTTAAAGAAATGTCATGATGAACCAGTTAGTGCTCATTTGGGTGTCTTTAAAACCCACAAGCGTCTTAGTCTTAATTATTACTGGCCCAGCATGTACCGAGATGTGAAAGAATATGTTAAAAAATGCGAGATATGTAAACAATACAAACCCGTCAACACGGCTAGACCTGGTTTAATGGGAAACCCGAAGGAGGTTAACAAACCCTGGGAAGCCATATGTTGCGATTTGCTAGGCCCATTTCCGGTTTCTCGCAATAGGAATATTCACTTAATTGTATGTACAGACTATTTTAGCAAGTAAATCATGTTTCATCCTATACGGATCGCAACAGGCGCTGCGGTCGCTAAGTTCATAGAAGAGAAAGTGTTCCTAGTACATGGCGTATGTAAGACTATCTATATTGACAATGGCCCACAGTATGTGTCTAATCAGTTTAGGTAACTGTTACATAAATATAACGTACCGAATATCTATTATAACCCGCGTTATCACCCACAGGTAAATCAAGCCGAAAGAGCGATTAGGAACGTAGTTAACGGTATATCATGTTATGTAGGTACCGAGCATAAACGATGGGACGAGAACATCCCACAGTTGCAATGCGCACTTAATTCAGCCGTGAATGATACCACTAAGTTTACTCCGTATTTTCTTGTGCACGGACGGGAATTCATAATAGATGGAATGTTACACAGCTTAGATAGCCCTCAGCCAGTTCAAAGATCACAAGTAACTCTCGGTGAACCACAAGCATACAGTAAAAAATTGGCGGAATTAGACACCATATTTAAAAAGGTACAAAAGCATATTAAAAATGCTCATTCTAGAAATGAAAAGTACTATAACTTAAGAAAACGACATGTTGAGTTAAAAGTAGGTCAGATTGTATATAAACGTACCCATTACCTATCTAATGCCTCAAAGAGATTTACGGCTAAACTAGCACCAAAATTTCAAAAATGTGTCATAACAGCGAAATTATCACCTTTAGTGTATACCTTAGCCAGCATGGAAGGTAAGACACTAGGTAATTTTCACATAAAAGACATCCTTAAACAAGATGACTAATAGTTTTGTAGAATGTGAGTGATGAGTATGATTGAGTGAAAGAATGTAAGAATAATAAACATTTTCAAAATTCATTTCCACCGGTGAACTTTCTGAGATAAATAAGCTGTGATTGTATTGATGAACGAGCGATACATAACTAGTAGGTCATCTTATGTTGTGAACATCGGCGCGAGTTAGATAAGAATTTGTTCTTTATGTCCGCACTCTGGACATTATATAAGAAAATGCATACCAGCCAGTGCGTAGCATTACTTAAGCTGTTTCTTTTAACTTAATATGATTAAACGTTAATTCACTTAACTTAATGCGAGATAGATATTTAACTTAACTTAATACTTAATATGATTTCCAAATCACTTAACTACTCAACTTAATAAATAAGAACACGTTCGTTTTTCGACTACTTAGAGAAAAGTCGAGTCGAAACGTAAACAGCCTGTGTAGGCTTAGTGTACTGTAGGTATTCGTTTCTGTCCCGTGATGTTACGTCACGCACCGCATGAATGGTAATAGATTATTCGCGCGTAGGATTCGGGAACGTAATTATTCATAGGCAGTTGTATTTCATTATTGTAAAAAACATGTAGGAATAAATGTAAATAAAGTTGCATGCCATTAGATTAATATAGGTATAACTATTAGTGTAATATTTTCTAACTTACAACACAAGTAGGTAAATTTGTGGTAGTGATTTTTTTGTGTTAACAACACAAGTAGGTAATTACATTTTGAGGTTAAATTGTTTAGTGGAATATAATGTTACTAGGTATACAGATACAGAAATGAAAATTAGGTAATAAGTAGAGTAATAATGAGCCTTGTGTAAGATTAAACGTCGTAATTAAGTGATTAAGTGATGGCTTGGTACTTGTTAGTTGTTGGTGCATGGGTGACTTGGAATTTACTATCCGTGCGAATGTTTTTAGCCAGATTGGATTAGAGACGCATTACAACTTCTTAACTGTCTTTGGTATTCAGTCGTTGTTCTGCAGGTGGCACGAAATGTCTTCGGAAAAAGTATCTTCAATACGAAGAACTTTTTAACCCAAGCAAAGGGGATGTGTAACACGAAAATTTTCGTGTACATTATTTTAGCATATTTACGTTATTACATGCGATGAACAGACTTCAGAGCGCCATCTAACGTCATGAGTCCGAAGTAACTAGAAACGTATATTGACGAATCGAGCTAGCTAATTGCATGCAATTGACCTTTCGTGTTAGTTCGAAATCATACCACGGATCGACGGTGGCGTGTAGCCCAAGGGAGGCCTAGTTCTTTTTGGAGCGAGCCGTTGTAATGATCGGACACGCACATATATAATTTTTGAATCGAAACGCCGGAACATGAATTTAAAGTGACGACTACTTGGGCGTACGGCCCCTTAAACACAATGTCTACGGGCAGTTTAATGTGTTGAAACACATCATCCCATAAATTGTAAGTACTTAATGTTTTTGTCTTCTTAAAAGCACATGTGCTCTAATTAACGGTACACGGTGTTTCATAGATTCTTTTGCCTTGTCATAGGGGTCCTTAGTCCTTAGTCCTTAGTCCTTAGTCCTTAGTCCTTAATCCTTAGTCCGTACTTTGAGTATGGTCCATTATCAAGTTTAACAATGTGAACGAGGCGAGGCAGCTTCAACGGGTGACTATATTGGGACTGGGCGGCCAGGAGACCGCGACCGGCGTACACCTGGAGGATATTTGTTGCCTCACTGCTTCGCGGGATTGACCATAAACAGTGTAATATTGTGTAATCCACCAGGTTAGTCAAAACCTCAGTTCATAGGGTATTTTAAAGTGAAAACTTGATATTTGGAGCTATACATGTGAACCGTAGAAGGAAATAAACTACTTTTTGTCTGTATGTGTATCTTTGAATTTTCATTTACTAATCATCCAACAACAGGCGCCCTGGGATACTTTTATTTTGATCCTCGAGTCCCTTGACTCTCCGATAACCGTAGCCGGTGAGTAACGCCCTGAAAAGTGTTATAAGAGATGCCCAAATGTATGTGGCGGGACTTTAGCAACTTCAATACAGATCGTATTAAAGAAGCGATCGAACGAAACCAGGGCTCAAAAGTCTTTGCCAGAGATCTGTCTGCCAGAAAGCGCCAACTGTCGAAGCTGAAGACCGAATATGGCTGCATCGTTTCCAGGCCACCAGAGATTTTAATGATATGAATGAATATGAATTCCTTGCCCGCATCAGGGTACCCCAAAATAGGTGTTTTGCACAGACGGTTCTTGAGCTCCTGGAATGCAATATCGCAACTTTCATCCCAGCAGAAATGTCGCTTCTCCTCGGTTAGCTTGTGCAGAGGTTTGGCTATATATGCAAAGATCTTTACAAATCGCCGATAATAAGAGCACAAACTCAAAAATGCTCTAACCTGTGTCTTGTCTTTTGGAACCGGCCACTCCTTGACAGCGGCAATTTTCTCTGGATACCTTCTTCCGACACTACATACCCCAAAAAACTAACTTGCCGTTTGAATAGTGAGCACTTCTTTGGACTCAACTTGAGGTTGGCACTCTGGATCTTCATGAGCACGCGTTCCAGGTTTGGAAGGTGTTCCTCAAACGTACGGCCTCCAAATAGACCAAACAGGCATCTTCAATTAGCCCGGTAAGTACAAGCTCCATCAACCTTTCAAACGTTGCTGGAGCATTGTACAATCCAAACGGCATGACTTTAAATTGCCACAGACCCTTTCCTGTGGAGAATGTAGTTTTCTCCTTGTCCTTAGGGTTAATTTCAACCTGCCAGTAGTCAATTTTCAGGTCCAGTGTACTAAACCACTTTACGCCTGTAAGCATGTCCAGCGTGTCATCAATTCTTGGCAAGGGATAGCTGTCCTTCTTCGTAACGTCATTCACTCACAGCAGCTCTGACTTCAAGGTCGCGGATGCCGTCGACAAATGTCTGCACCAGGTTCCCTACAATGAGCGCAGGTACAGACTGGTATGTTTTTCGAACCAGTTTCTCCACCTCAAGGGCCTACTGCTGCAGATTTTCGTTACTGCGTTGCACGCGATCTTTGAGCTGTGCACGAAAGACGTGTTCCGGGTGAGCGTCGCCATACCTCGCCTCCAATGCCTCAAGGAGCTGCTCGTAAGTCACTTCCTTACCGAGAGCTTCCAGAACTGGTCACGCAGGCCTAGGGTGAGAGCAGTCATGGCCTGACTTTTATTCCAGCCGTTCGCTTTCATGACAGCCTCGAACTGCATTTTGTAGGCCAACCAGGAAGAACTCCCGTCGAACGGTGGCACTTTGAATCCACGTAGCAGTGTTGTAGCTACCACGGGAGCTGTAACTCCATCACCAATTTTGAGGTCGTTCAGCGTTTTCTTCACGTCAACCATCACGTTGTCAACCCGATAGTTCACTTGGTCGATTCGTGTTTCAGCTTCCAACAGGCGGTTGTCATGTTGAGCAACCCTATCCTTCACCTCCTTTATCTCTTTCCCGAAGATAGCGTGAAGGTCCTTCATGAGAAGAAACTGCTCTTCCAACCGACGACCCTGTTCCGCCTGTTGGCGGGCTTGTTCCTCCTGTCCGCGCTACAGCTGTTCTTCCAACCGACGGGCCTGTTCCTCTTGTTGGCCGGCCTGTTCCTCTTGTTGGCGGGCCTGTTCCTCCTGTCTGCACTGCAGCTGCTCTTCCAACCGACGGGCCTGTTCCTCCTGTCGGCGAGCCTGTTCCTGCAGCATCATCATCAGAGCACCTAAGTCAGGTGCTGTAGATGCAGGAGCTGATGACCGACCGGCCTCCGTGGTCAGCAGCTGGCCCTCCGATGTTTGCGGCGTTGTATTACCAAATCGTCTCTGGTCCGTCTCCAGCTGGCGTTGACTTCGAGTACGGATACCCTCCATGTCGTCCTTTGGTAAAATCGGCATGATTTAATCCCACTTCTCACACCAATTGTTACAAGCTTAGGGTTCGTGACAATTAAAAACTGCCAATTGAATTACCAAAATTGACACTTTAATTACACAACACTAATTACAACTTAAAAACACACTAATAATAAAACACAATTTCTTTAGTTCGCAGTTATTTCGCTTCGAAGTATTCTCTTGCATCGCCAATTCAATACTGCCCCGGCCGTGGTCTATACCGGCCTTATATAGGGCCTCAGATAGTTTCCAGAACCTTCTACTGTAGCAACATCTAGAATGTTCGAGTACATATCGGCCCCAAAATTTCTGGAAGGATCTC